TTCCAGCAATATTCCAGCTATATGACGGGGGGTTTGTAAATAATCGAGTCTGAACCAGACAATCCAGTGATCAACAGCATGAGCATCGATCTACACAATTGGGATACGATAATATGTGTCAGCCAAGTCTCTTAGAACACCCAATCCTCTCAGTCGCCTCTTACGACAAGCATAGATTAATGAAGATCAATTTTAACCCGCATCTTCACAGGTTGTACACACGTGAGGAGGTTAATAACAATGCAGTCTAGGTCATGGCAATGCATTGCTTACGCCGCCACAACCCTTTTCCAGTGTATCTTCGGACACCGATCCTTTATTCATATGTTCGTGTGCCTGCCTCACGATTTACAACCCTACCAGATGCACACATAATGTAACATTGATATGCGAGAAGGATTCTTTATTAGTGATTAAAGCAATAGGTGACAATATAAAAGTGCTAAGCACAAGTAATACCAATCTACCAAAGAGCTATTAAACGGTTACAAAATGAAAGAGTAGAACACATGTAATCCTTCCAATGTATGCTTACATGTATAAGTGACATACATCGACATGTGCACTGCTGCCATAGAACCACAATATAGATATAATGGATCTATATACATGACTAACACACATAACCGTTACTTCTACATGTCCCTTCGACAAAACATTTGACTACTCTTCGAAGTCCTACATGTATAGTGTGTAGGATATCATCGTATCAAAAGACTTTGTGCAATGTGTTGAATAAGGTGGTTCGTTCATTGTACGGTTCTGACCTGATTTACTAGAGTCACTGGCATTCATGTCTCGAGTTAATACAGAGGAGGTTATGGGAATACCCAGCTGGTGGAGGGGGAATATGCATGTTGAACTGATCTCGCACTCAATGCGGACTGCGCAGTTTGAAATCTGTTTTGAAAAGAGATGTTTTTTCTTTTCTCTTTTGGTGATCATGATAAGGATATGTAAATTTGGATTAAACCCCTTTGAAAGATCGTTCCTCTGTATCTTAGATGAATGTTTATGTCACAATGTGTTTGTGTGTGTTGTTGTTGTTATGTTTTTGTTTGCTTTGTTGGGTTTTGTTCGTGTGTGTGTGTGCAAAAACCCCGATTCCCCGAATGAATGCGTGTGCAAGTATGATATGGACTTTAATAAAAGTTGTTAACGTATATAAATTTATTTTTGTCTGTTTTACCACGTGTTATACTATCACTATACTATCACTGAGGTAGTAAAAACGAAGTATGAAAGTTTCCTTTTTGCAACGTGTGATTTCTAATGCAAAGAATAATTGAAGAAACGTAAGTAAAGGCAATACTGCATCAGTCATCAAAACAACACAATCGTTGAGAATATCAGAGCTAAAAGGGTTACGAAATAGTATTGCTATCAATGGCCACTCCTCGTAATTTCACAGTAAAGTGTAAATATACATTTGGGATCGTCTTCATCTCACCAGCTTCTAAAAGCCTCTTAAATAAAAATTTGGAACACTGTGCTGACTGGACAGGGTCAGATCAAGACGAAGTGACACTGGGTAAGAATTGGTCTCAAGAACACTTTGCTGATCGGGTGGTGAGATGCAGTGACTTGGCGATGATGGCGTGTCTGCGTACCCCAACAGAGTGGATCGATGCTCGTGTTATCAACCACTGGATTGTCTGGTCCTGACTCATATCATATATTTGTAAAACGTTCGGCGTCACCCCTTATGAACAGTCGTGATTGATGGAAATACGCTTTGTGTATATAATTGTGGGTAATACTGTAAAAGTCAATATGTCCACCACCGTACGAGTTGGGTCCCTTCTATTGAAGGTACACTAGACGCCAAAAGAAACGTTACCCTCCTACCCTTATGGATTACCAAAACACTATCAAAGATATTTAGAAGTTTTAGTTTACAAGACAGCTTTATGCAAATCACGAAAAAAAAATCTCAAATGCATTCATAGTTAATTGTCATATTCGTCCATGCCGAAATAAACCAATAATAATGATTTTGATGTCCAAAAGAAAGGTTGAAATAAAATTCTGCTTTTGGACAATGATAAACTATTTAATGTCACCATTTTTCAACTATTAAAACAAGAAACAACCGTTGTAGAGTGTAAAATTGTAAAATAATCATTGCTATGATTTTAGTCTTTTCAAACATTTTCTGCTGATTTTCATTAGTGAAAACAAGTAAAACGTGTGTTTGATATTGTGAAAAAATGTTTAGGAACATCTATAATTATATTTGTCAACATTTTTGCTTGTAAAGTAACATTTTTCCATTTCCATTTTACACATAGCAATATCAATCGCCAAAATGCAGCAATATTCAAACAGTACTTACATCCATTTCACATGCAGAATGATTCATTAGGGTATAAAGAGAGCCTAGAAGACATGATCTGATACACAAGTACGAGAAATATGCCACGATTAACAGCTGAAGGGAGAGAAAGAGCAATTTGGATGGTGCAGATGGGGTCGACATACACTGCTGTTGCCAACGCTAACGGATGCCACCGTATCACGGTTATAAGACTTATTCAGGGCTTCAGATAGACTGAGATCACCGTAGACAGACCAAGAAGTGGACGTCCACGCATCACAACGCCAGCTGAAGATAGGTACCTCAGTTATAAAGGAAGGAGGGTAACGTTTCTTTTGGCGTTTAGTGTACATATGAACCCTGTATTGCGTAGGTAATCTGGATATTTCTATTTATAAACAATATGTACATTCAGGTCACAAACGACATTGACCCTAAATCTGGGTCGTTTAAGGTCATCTAGTGAATAGCCTCTTCAGATATTCTAAATTTAGTAAATATATCCACTTAATGTTTGATATTTACTCGCAAGAATTCTTATTTTCTCATAAACATGAAGCTGTAAATCAAAAGTCTTATGGTTTTTGAGCGAAAATATACGACACCTATAAAAAAGATATTCATATTGTTTTTTTACTGTGTATAGCGTAGGAAAAATAATACAAGTGCAACAGAAGAATGTGGATGCATTCCGTTTAATGCATTTGGTCAGAATGCATGTAAAAAGGTTGACACTGTACAGGTACACTGATTTTTATGATATAATGTCTACACAATATCAATGGTATCTTAGCGAGTATGTTGTACAATGTCTTACATAAAATGGTATCACAGAACCGCTTTTTTGTCTTCTGAAAAATATCACAGAATTGTAAATGTAGCATTGGTTCGTCATCTAACTTCTACGCTGTAGCATGTAAGCACCTATAGAGAAAGTCACATGTCTAAAACATGGCCCGTCTGGACACAAACCAACTCGTCACTTGGCGGGGTCTCTATCTTAACATTTACAGTTTTGGCACGATGGAAAATCATGGTTGTCTGTACACACTAAACATTTACACTTTGTGACAGCTGAAATACATGACAGTCCGTAAAATTCTAAAATTCTAAAAATTTACAGTCAGGACAATTACACTTGAGAGTCTTGCTGGAATGATCGATAATCGGAAATATCGTGGATAGGAAAAATATTCATGATTATTGATATGAAATTGTAATATCGTACAATAACTTTTGTGATAGAAAACGTATCAATTTTCGCTCACAATATACAAATTTTATTCATGACAGCTTCTAAATTATGTTCAGGACGCTTTGTTGTCAATAATAATCCAAGTATAAACATGTCGCCAATCACCAGTGATGTGAAATGTATTCTTTTCTTTCAGACATTTTTTGCCTTTTTGTTTGAAGTTATGTCTCCGATATTTATCGATAATCGATCAATCTTTAGTTAATGATTATCGATCTCTATGATCGATATCGATAGCTAACCCTAGTACATACTCGAAGGATATACCCTCTTGACATAACTGTTACATTTGACAGTCTGTACCCAATCGTCATTCCATTTACAGCCTTTATATCCTGTACACATTTGCAGTTTGACACCTGAGAGTTTATATACATTCTAAACATATACATCAAGAGTATTAACTGCACTTCTGTGTTATTTTGGTGGTAATCACTGTAAGTCCAGACAGTATCGTTTTTCTATGAGTGAGTGAATTATATTTTACGTCGCCAAGCATGAACACGGTGCTTGAAAACGGAAAAGTTATCTATCTGAAAGAGGTTGATCATCCATAAAGACCAGTCAGTCCTATTACTTACAACTTCTAGAATGTCTCCCAAACAGTTCATCATAGTTCTTCATCATATCTTCGTTATCGCCGTTTTTCTTATACGTGTACCGCTTGGTCAAACACATGTAACTTGAGTAACACAGCAAGGACCATGATTGGGACTATGGTCTGATTGGACCTTTCACAGTACACTCGTGAGTAATACATGGTTTGTCCATCGTTGGAAGCAAGGGTTCTCGGATTGTGGTGTCCTGACTGACATGCCAATTGTTCCACTTTGTCCTGACTATGACTAATGCCTTGTACACATCCTGAACGGGCAGGGGTAAGGCGTTGACAAATCTAGAAGCATAATCCAGGAATCCGAAGCTCGATCTTACGTTTCTGGTACGTCTAATGGAATCCATTCTACACAGCGAATTGTAATGCTAAAAGCTTGCACCACCAGTATCTGTTCTTAAAAAAGGTTGACAATAATTAGCTATACTGAAAACAAACAAGGTCAGCAAAAGCAAATCTTTGCATTGTCTACAGCGACTGCAGACATCTGTCGATCGGAATGCCACGCATTACCTTTTTGTAGCGGTTGCAGGTTAAAAAGGGATTTCCAATTTCCAATGTTTCGATGATGGATCGGGCTGAAAGGAACTATAATGAGACGTGTTCCAATCTATGCATAGCCCAAGCGAGCCCAATATCAGATTTTAATGAGATTGATAATGCACAATGTAAAGAATCATGTAATGCATTTTTCGGACTTTCCTTACGGCCTGTTAAAGGGGAGGTGGGGTAGCCTAGTGGTTAAAGCGTTTGCTCGTCACGTCGAAGGCCCGGATTCAATTCCCCACATGCGTACAATGCGTGAAGCCCATTTCTGGTGTCCCTCGCCGCGATGTTGCAGGAATATTGCTAAAAGCGGCGTAAAACCATATTCACTCACTCACTACAGCTTGTTAAACAAGAGATATGGAACTTGAAACTGGTCATTTCTAGTAGCTCTCGACTCCACTTGCTGAAATTCGAACGTAACGCCATGAGAGATCATTTGCTCTTTTGGATCGCTCCCATACATGCATGGCGGGCCACGGATCAAGATATTAAGTGTATACCACTTTCGGGACGCGAGTTTGATCGGCGAGGGGAACAATACTTCAAATATGACATCTTCCTTGTTGGCCTTGCTGGAGGATGCAATATTGGAACCAGCGATCTCGACGTTGAACTCGTCGTCAAGGTGAGCTTCTACGTCGTAGGTTGCGACATCATCATCACAAGGACCATACAAGAGAAAGCCGCACAACTCAATATCTTCACGACATCGGAACTTCATAGGTTCCCATTCTCGACCTCGACATGTTCTCCCGAATGATTGCACCCTGAATCTGTTTTCCGTCCTGTTGCAAACCTTTCTCGTGCCTTTCTTCTTCCTACCATCTCTGTGGTTCTCCTTCCTGTTTCTTCTGTAACCCTTAATGTATCTTTCATCCGCATAGTTGTCCTCCAAATCGGGTCTTTCTTCTTCACGGCTGTTTCCAGCAAACCCTCTGTGTGTCCTGCTGCCCTGTCTTGGATGATTTATATCTGGAAGTCTTCTTTGTTCCATATCATCTCTGTAGGTGACACTACCACTGGTCTTGCTACCTTTTGTACTTCCCCACTGACCTTTTCTTTCGTCCTTGTTAAACGGTTTAATATCCTTCTCAGGAAATATATTATGAACAAATATTTTCAGTCTCTCGTGATCAGCAAGTAATCCGCTGGCTCCGACTGTGTCGACGAAGTATTTCGAATCCATCAGTGGAAACCTTACGCACATGAGGACATCGCCTAGGATCTGTCGCTTGGTTTTGGGCGTGATCTCAAATTCCTGACGCTTGCATTCAGCCTCCGCCCACTTGTTAACAGCCTCAAACACAACCGTCTCATCCGCTACCAGATCATCTGGGCGCACGATCTGGTCAACGCAGGTGTGACTCAGTGCTAGGAAACTGGGTGTTTGCAGACACTCCTCGCCGTTTCTATGGATCATCTTCAGTGCCTTGCTGAACAGCTTCATTTGGTTGGATTGGAATGCAGCTTCAAGAACAATGCAAGCATTGAGTGGGGTGAGGTTTTCTTTGAGATAGTCCACGCACATGTCCTCTAGGCCACTGACCCCATACTTCCGGGCTGCATACAACAATGAGGTTGCATTTTTGGGATCGATCTCGGCCTCATTTGTGTACAGGTATCTGAAATAGGAGACAGATACTAAAGTAACTAACAGGCAATAATCTAACCTGATCAACGATCAGAGTTACATCCCTTGCTCGTCATTGTTCAGAACACCGATTGATCCAGATTTTATCATTGATCTATCAGCAGCATACAAACGATCGTGAGCTTCAACCTAGCCTGGACTTCTATTTTTTCAAATATTCATCTGTAAGTAAATGACATCTTTACTGTCAAAGACGTTAGATCTAACTCAAAGACGTTAGATCTAACTCAAAGACGTTAGATCTAAAACTTACCGTCTTATCTAAGGAGTATGACCTCCAACACTTGCATTTAATACATCATTTGTAATAATTCAAAACACAGACCCAATCTAGCACTGTTTCGATTTGTTTGGATTTGCCTCGTCAGTGTTCCAAACATGATTGTGGGTGGTGGGGTAGCCCAGCGGATAAAGCGTTCGCTCGTCACGGGCCACATGGGTACAATGTGTGAAATTCTTTTCTGATGTCCTCTGCCATGATATTGCTAAAATATTGCTAAATGCGACGTATACTATACTAGTTCACTCCAGGCATGATTGTATTCTCTGCTAAACCGAAACGAATATGACAAAATTTCGAACTATGTTACGATTAGAATTACTTCCCTGGTTCCATTGAGTTCGAGTTCTTTGTTGACAGATTTTTACAAGATAACTGTTCTTTATTATTACAGCATATATTGTTATAGTCACGATATGGCTGCAATACTCAATCTTTACTCACTCACTCACTCACTCATTGAGTTCGACTTAACAGTATGTAATGAACGTTTCTTACACGAGGAAGGTATGGAAGTCATCTGCTTCAATGTCAGGGATGGACATGTCGGTGTCGACACGGTTGACTTCCGACAGAATGGCGGCGAACACACAGCTCCGACTGATGAGGACAAAACGATGAGCGTTCACGGTCTGACCATCACGGCCTACCAGGAAGCTGACGTCACATGACACTTCCGACTTCAGCATGTGCATGTTACATTCCTCGACTGTCTTCCCAGCCTGCCAGTTGTCCACAGAGCCGAAATTTCTGGACCTTCGTGCTGTCGGGGCAATATCTATAACAACATATATGTATCAATGTAAAATTGTGTCGTGGGATTACTACTCTTATTATAAAAATGAAATAAATACATATAACCGGACATTATGTGTGTGACTATTAAGCAAACCGATTACAAAGAAATGAAAAAAAATGGATAATTTTTTTTCAAAAAGACTCTTTATTGGTATTTATTAATGAATAATGTAATTGATCTATTATTGCAACCTGATAGAGAAATCCCAACCAGATACTTTACAATTAATAAAGTTTGAAAATCAAAAGAAATACAATAAAACTTTTGCTTTATTAAATATATCAATATTAGGAAGGCTTCATGGTGGTGATGGTTGGAGGGTGGCGGTGGGTATTGTTTCAGCTGCAGCAGCTAAACCAGATAATTTGGGTTTTTTCAAATGGAAACTATCATTCTTTAGGTTTTATATTTTGTGTTTAAATATATAAAAACATCTTGAGCAAAGCAGCTTCTTTTCTCAAGCAAACTCATAAAACTGAGTGAGTTCACCATTGAATTTTCGACGAACCCGCTAATGCTATATCTGTATATATTAACATATGTGTCATGTACAGTACCGTTAGTGGTATGTTCACGGCCATATACGGGTAGAGCACCCGATCCATGTAGCGGTAACAGGGGAAACATTGGATCCAAATGTCTGAGACGATGGTTGACTCTACGTTTTCTGGAATCGTCCAACTGGAACTGGAGCTCCGTAGTCTTCAGTCCCTTCGTCTGTAATGTACACATTATATACTCATGCCAATAATGGTTGTCACCCCTTCAATTTTTTTTATTGGAGAGGGGTGGTGGTGTCAGTGTGTGGGGGTTGGGGTGGGAGAGGGTGACAACCATTATTGGCATGAGTATATACATAACCGTGCGTAAAAAGTACACCAATACCGTAATCATGAAGAAAACTAAAACGCTGTAAGCAAAGTCTATTGAATGATGAACACAAAACCGTCAAGATGATATGTGAATGCCTAAAAATCTGTAAACGCTGCTTGGTAAAACTGTCAAAATGAATTAATCATATTTTTGGCTCAACAATTTCCTTGTTTTTAAAGAGTATGTTCTAGATAAATACGTTCATGAGTGATGAAAATGTCACTGATCGCTTCACTGTGCCTAGAGCCACACTGATCCGCCCAAGTGTGTATATTCCTTTCAAAGCAAACATTTGGCCTGCACAGTTCTCCACGCGGGACAACTCCTTTATGATTTCGCTATGTTTACATGTTGTGAGGCGACCATTGTTAGAATGTCAACTTGCTTTACACATAAACATCCATTCCTTAACTTCACATTCGTATATCTGCACTCATGCCGGTCCGTTTAAACTTGACAACGTGTTTTTGTTTGTTTGAAACACAGTTACCCAAATTATTAGACACATGGACATACGCTTTTGTTTACATCTTGTCCCATTTCGTTATACATCAACTGGACGAAAAATTATTGTTATTTTATTAGTTGTTGATTAGATTTTGGGGATTTATTTACTACTTTTACATATCTACTTTTGTTTTCATTTCAGGAGAAATGCATTCAGAACTTGAAACCAGAATGTGGTGAATCCGGCTACAACTGTGTTTAATTCTTGGTCAAACATGGCGCTACCTGTCGACACGCTTTTCTCATTAAAATCACGTTAAATATTACTCAGTGCGTTACTACTGTGTGAGTCAGACAGTGTCATCGAACTACAGCGCTGATCATATCTGCCACACCACTCGGAAATGTGGGTCAATTACAACCATAAACGCACGAAACAATTAATCTCTTTTATATCAATATGTTCGTACAAATAATCCAGAAATATATATCATGACATGCTTACCTGCACAGGTATCCAGGTGTGTCGCTTCTGTCCACATGCGCGTCTCTCACCTGCATTTAATGAAGCGTGACGTACCTCCAATACTGACTCACACAAATGTACCGTTTAGCTGCATGTTGACACAATCAGGCGATATGCTTCAGTGTGACACCGGGCTAACTATCAGTGATTTCAGTGGAGCTGGTAGTTTCATATTCATGTGTACGTCGCTCTGTCCTCACACCGCGTCCACTTCTTTCCTTGTCAGGTGAAGTTTTCCTGGCTCTCGGTTTAGTTCCTTGTCACGTAATTTGTTCAAGATAGTCTATTCTCTCAAACAGGTAGACACGTGAATGTGTAGCATACCTTTATTTTTTCTCGTTGTCTGTTTACCAGACTGAAAATGAAAATAGTGTGAGCACTGTCAGTGTGTGTGTGTGAGAGAGAGATAGAGAGAGAGGAGTGTGTGTGTGTGTGTGTGTGTGTGTGTACATACATACGAACAAGTATATGTATATGTATGTGAGAACGCGTGTGTGCGCGAGTGTGTACGTTCGTGTGCGAACATGTAATTGTACATGGTATGTGTATAAGTGCGATGTGTACAGACAATTATGTTGTATGCGAAATGCATGTGTGTACATAAGTGTACGTGTGTGCATGAGTGTGGAGATATGTGTGTGTATATATGACGGTGGACAGGTATATGTATGCAAACATGTACATGTATGCGCGTACATGTGTGTGTGTGTGTGTGTACAGGTGTAGGTGTTCATGTTTCTGTCTGCTTAAAAGTACGTGAGTGTATGTGTCTTTGTGTGCCCGTACATGTATGTACCAGCGTCCGATCGATGTTGACATCCATTGTAAACAGTGTGAACTGTGAGCTATATGTACAGCTTCAGCAATGACTACACCATTGTAAACAATGTGAACTGTAAGCTATATGTACAGCTTCAGCAATGACTACACCACTGTAAACAATGTGAACTGTCAGCTATATGTACACCTACAGCAATGACTACACCACTGTAAACAATGTGAACTGTCAGCTATATGTACAGCTTCAGCAATGACTACACCATTGTAAACAATGTGAACTGTCAGCTATATGTACAGCTTCAGCAATGACTACACCATTGTAAACAATGTGAACTGTCAGCTATATGTACAGCTTCAGCAATGACTACACCAACGTAAACAGTGTGAACTGTCAGCTATATGTACACCTTCAGCAATGACTACACCATTGTAAACAATGTGAACTGTGAGCTATATGTACAGCTTCAGCAATGACTACACCATTGTAAACAATGTGAAGTGTGAGCTATATGTACAGCTTCAGCATCTACACCATTGTAAACAATGACTACACCAACGTAAACAATGTGAACTGTCATTTATATGTACACCTTCAGCAATGACTACACTATTTTAAACAATATGAACTGTAAGCTATATGTACAGCTACAGCAATGACTACACCATTGTAAACAATGTGAACTGTGAGCTATATGTACAGCTTCAGCAATGACTACACCATTGTAAACAATGTGAACTGTAAGCTATATGTACAGCTTCAGCAATGACTACACCATTGTAAACAATGTGAACTGTAAGCTATATGTACAGCTTCAGCAATGACTACACCATTGTAAACAATGTGAACTGTGAGCTATATGTACAGCTTCAGCAATGACTACACCATTGTAAACAATGTGAACTGTGATCTATATGTACAGCTTCAGCAATGACTTCACCACTGTAAACAATGTGAACTGTGAGCTATATGTACAGCTTCAGCAATGACTACACTATTGTAAACAATGTGAACTGTGAGCTATATGTAAGCTTCAGCAATGACTACACCATTGTAAACAATGTGAACTGTCAGCTATATGTACAGCTTCAGCAATGACTACACCATTGTAAACAATGTGAACTGTGAGCTATATGTACAGCTTCAGCATTGACTACACCATCGTAAACAGTGTGAGCTGTCAGCTATATGAAAAGCTTCAGCAATGACTACACCATTGTAAACAATGTGAACTGTCAGCTATATGTACAGCTTCAGCAATGACTACACCATTGTAAACAATGTGAACTGTCAGCTATATGTACAGCTTCAGCAATGACTACACCATTGTAAACAATGTGAACTGTCAGCTATATGTACAGCTTCAGCAATGACTACACTATTGTAAACAATGTGAACTGTCAGCTATATGTACAGCTTCAGCAATGACTACACCATTGTAAACAGTGTGAACTGTCAGCTATATGTACAGCTTCAGCAATGACTACACCATTGTAAACAATGTGAACTGTCAGCTATATGTACAGCTTCAGCAATGACTACACCATTGTAAACAATCTGAACTGTCAGCTATATGTACAGCTTCAGCAGTGACTAAACTATTGTAAACATTGGGAACTGTCAGCTATATATACAGCTTCAGCAATGGCTACACCATTGTAAACAATGTGAACTGTCAGCTATATGTACAGCTTCAGCAATGACTACACCATTGTAAACAATGTGAACTGTCAGCTATATGTACAGCTTCAGCAATGACTACACCATTGTAAACAATGTGAACTGTCAGCTATATGTACAGCTTCAGCAATGACTACACCATTGTAAACAATGTGAACTGTCAGCTATATGTACAGCTTCAGCAATGACTACACCATTGTAAACAATGTGAACTGTGAGCTATATGTACAGCTTCAGCAATGACTACACCATTGTAAACAATGTGAACTGTAAGCTATATGTACAGCTTCAGCAATGACTACACCATTGTAAACAATGTGAACTGTGAGCTATATGTACAGCTTCAGCAATGACTACACCATTGTAAACAATGTGAACTGTGAGCTATATGTACAGCTTCAGCAATGACTACACCATTGTAAACAATGTGAACTGTCAGCTATATGTACAGCTTCAGCAATGACTACACCATTGTAAACAAACTGTCAGCTATATGTACAGCTTCAGCAATGACTACACCATTGTAAACAATGTGAACTGTGAGCTATGTACAGCTTCAGCAATGACTACACCATTGTAAACAATGTGAACTGTGAGCTATATGTACAGCTTCAGCAATGACTACACCATTGTAAACAATGTGAACTGTGAGCTATATGTACAGCTTCAGCAATGACTACACCATTGTAAACAATGTGAACTGTAAGCTATATGTACAGCTTCAGCAATGACTACACTATTTTAAACAATGTGAGCTGTCAGCTATATGTACAGCTTCAGCAATGACTACACTATTGTAAACAATGTGAACTGTCAGCTATATGTACAGCTTCAGCAATGACTACACCATTGTAAACAATGTGAACTGTGAGCTATATGTACAGCTTCAGCAATGACTACACCATTGTAAACAATGTGAACTGTGAGCTATATGTACAGCTTCAGCAATGACTACACCATTGTAAACAGTGTGAACTGTGAGCTATATGTACAGCTTCAGCAATGACTACACCATTGTAAACAATGTGAACTGTGAGCTATATGTACAGCTTCAGCAATGACTACACCATTGTAAACAATGTGAACTGTAAGCTATATGTACAGCTTCAGCAATGACTACACTATTTTAAACAATGTGAACTGTCAGCTATATGTACAGCTTCAGCAATGACTACACTATTGTAAACAATGTGAACTGTCAGCTATATGTACAGCTTCAGCAATGGCTACACCATTGTAAACAATGTGAACTGTCAGCTATATGTACACCTTCAGCAATGACTACACCATTGTAAACAATGTGAACTGTGAGCTATATGTACAGCTTCAGCAATGACTACACCATTGTAAACAGTGTGAACTGTGAGCTATATGTACAGCTTCAGCAATGACTACACCATTGTAAACAATGTGAACTGTGAGCTATATGTACACCTTCAGCAATGACTACACCATTGTAAACAATGTGAACTGTAAGCTATATGTACAGCTTCAGCAATCATTATGACTACACTATTGTAAACAATGTGAACTGTCAGCTATATGTACAGCTTCAGCAATGACTACACTATTGTAAACAATGTGAACTGTGAGCTATATGTACAGCTTCAGCAATGACTACACCATTGTAAACAATGTGAACTGTGAGCTATATGTACAGCTTCAGCAATGACTACACCATTGTAAACAGTTTAAACTGTGAGCTATATGTACAGCTTCAGCAATGGCTACACCATTGTAAACAATGTGAACTGTGAGCTATATGTACAGCTTCAGCAATGACTACACCATTGTAAACAATGTGAACTGTCAGCTATATGTACAGCTTCAGCAATGACTACACCATTGTAAACAATGTGAACTGTGAGCTATATGTACACCTTCAGCAATGACTACACCATTGTAAACAGTGTGAAGTGTGAGTTATATGTACAGCTTCAGCAATGACTACACCATTGTAAACAATGTGAACTGTGAGCTATATGTACACCTTCAGCAATGACTACACCATTGTAAACAATGTGAACTGTGAGCTATACGTACAGTTTCAGCAATGACTGCACCATTGTAAACTATGTGAAGTGTGAGCTATATGTACAGTTTCAGCAATGACAACACCATTGTAAACAATGTGAACTGTCAGCTATATGTACAGCTGAAGCAATGACTACACTATTGTAAACAATGTGAACTGTCAGCTATATGTACAGCTTCAGCAATGACTACACCATTGTAAACAATGTGAACTGTCAGCTATATGTACAGCTTCAGCAATGACTACACCATTGTAAACAATGTGAACTGTCAGCTATATGTACAGCTTCAGCAATGACTACACCATTGTAAACAATGTGAACTGTCAGCTATATGTACAGCTTCAGCAATGACTACACCATTGTAAACAATGTGAACTGTCAGCTATATGTACAGCTTCAGCAATGACTACACCATTGTAAACAATGTGAACTGTCAGCTATATGTACAGCTTCAGCAATGACTACACCATTGTAAACAATGTGAACTGTCAGCTATATGTACAGCTTCAAGCAATGACTACACCATTGTAAACAATGTGAACTGTCAGCTATATGTACAGCTTCAGCAATGACTACACCATTGTAAACAATGTGAACTGTCAGCTATATGTACAGCTGAAGCAATGACTACACCATTGTAAACA